AAAGCAGTACACAACCGTCTTCTAATATCTTCGATTTTCTCCAAAGTAATATCATCATCTTCTTGCGCTCGGTCTAACTCGTTCTTTAGCTCTTCTATAAGTCTTGCCATATTCGTTGGCAGAGTTGAGATCTGTCGAAAACTTTCAGTTCTACAAACAAAATTCGAGAATTTCAAATATGATTCCGTAATCCTACACGATATTCAGGAACCGGTGGCTTCTGAGTAAGTGACGGATCGATCACCGAGTGGTCAAGTAGAGCAATAGGCTCGGTGGTGGCAACGGCTGGGGCTTTCGATCTAAACCTAATCTAGAAACCTAAATTTTTTGCAAGGGATTATATCAAAACTTTGCTTCGGCTTCTTGGTCGAAAACAATAGCGAATTGAATAAAGCAAAGCAATATGAGACTAAAGAGATGGAAGATAAAGAAAATGCATTAGCTTTGGACTGTGAAGACAAAGAAAATGTTACTATTGCAGCGAATGAATGATTAGGATTAAGTATGCTGTACAATCATCTCCTATGCACTTTTCTGTTTGCGCATTTACGTTCTACTGAAGCAGGTGATGACAATAGCAGATTAAGTGTTTAAGTGGAAAAGACAAATTCTCAAAGGAAGCAGACACGAAGAAGAAACAACACTACTGTACTCTTGCTAAAGAAGAAACTGACTGCAAACAGTCTTGGATTAAGTTGGACGTTTTTTCTATTACTTAGTTAATATTCTCAACTGCATGCAGCTTGAGAAGAACAGAACATCCACAACATGATGCAGCAGAAAGCAAACTGCAGTTTCTCAAACTGTGCAAAGGAGTTTTCACTGTCGTAACAATTACACAGTGATAGGAAAAAGAGGCCAGGGCAGCAAGTAAAAGAGTTGAAACCATGGAGGAAACAAAACCGATGAATGGAGAAACTAAGAAAGTTGCGACCATTAACAAACCTATGTTTGTGTTGTTGCTTCGACAAGCCTGGAACTACCCCAAAGGGACCAAACTTCCATAGCATTTGTGATGTAAGAACAAACGAGTCAAAGAATCAAATTGCAACAATTTGAAATAAACAAAGGAGAGAAAGAGATCACAAGCCGAGAAGAGATGGTGTTGGACGTGACAAGTGGTGATGAATGGAGGAAGATGGATTCACGGACAGAATGATGATGATGTGAGGAGGATGGATCACGAGCAGATTGGAGATGAATGGAGTGTTGGTTGTCGATCCAAGCGAGCTAAGGCTGTAGCGAGGTCCGATCGATGGTATGATGATGGAGATGGATCGATGGTCGCCACACAAGTGATGATGGACTTGTGATAAGACTAGAACGGATCAGGTCGCCTTGATATGACTCACAAGGAAAGCGGATTCGCAGAGAGTTCGATGAACACAAGATTCAAAGAAGAAAGTTCGGTTTTTGTATTGATAGCGTGAAAAGATACACTCCTCCTATGGAACCTTATATAGTGGTTCGTGCAGGTGATGCCTTCTAGGGCG